AAAATAAATAATGCACATTGTCGGCAAAAAAGAACAACGAAAAAGAAACATAAACACAGAATACAAAGTCAAAGAAAAGTCTCAAAACTTACAATCAAAAATGAAAAAAAGAAGAGTTTTTTTTGATCCTTTTATAAAGTCTCTTGAAAATAAAAAAAAATGACTTGCATCTCTATAACAACCTATGTTTGAATGTCTTATCGTGAAACAAGACTTGACGAAGTTTCATGAGCATATCAAGTGCAAATTCGGATTTGAAAAGCACTCCCAGAAAAGCTTTGAAAGTTACTTTTGCCCTAAATGACTTTTAATTCCATGTTTTTTCTTCCTTCTTTTATTATTTTTGGGTCGAAAATTCTCACAGTAAATGGACGAAAAAAGGACGAAAATTCAGAAAACTGAACTGAAGAATGGGGAAAAAAACATCTTTCATATCAAGGTAATATATCTAAACTTAAGAAAGCATGACAGAAACAACAACATATGCTTACCAAAGCTAAGAACCAGCTTCATCGTAACCCAAACCATCAGAACCTCTCTTACGAAAGACATCTTGGAAGTGAATAATGCGCGGCTTTTGCAGCATCTGTTATGGCAAGCTAAGGATATCTTGCAATTGTCTGTATTGTTCCTTAATAGCCCTCTTTAAKTGCAGTGTGTCGTTTTAATAAATAGTTTTTGCGGTATAATAATACAATTAATAGTGCCTCTTATAAAGAAAACATGGAGTAAAAGTTTGCAATTTCTTATTTTTTTTAATACAGTTTCATATCCCATGCTGTTCGTTCGTTAATTTCGCATCCGATAAATAATATGAGTCCAGTCTCTCTCAACCATCTCTGCACCATTCAGTCCTTCATTCTGGAAATCTCACAGAAMGAATGTTTTGGCTTACAAACCCTTTCAAAAGCATCGTACTGACTAAAATCAACCCTATCGGAATTTYATCATTTTATTAAATAAGTTTATTTTCATGCGATCTATAAACATGCACCTTCTTTTAATGATCTTCAATTTCAGATATTTCATTAGCCTTATCTGCGGTTCATAGCGTGTGCCATCTCAATGGGACGATGTCAAGGAAAAATTATGAAAAAATATTCATKAAATCTCTCCTTATCTCAATATGTGTGTGCCTAATGTGTCCTCCTCTGTCTCATTTAATTTTTGTTATTTGCGTCAGTCCATTGATTACAAGTTCCATTTGAACGCTTGGAAATTGAAACCCTTTTCGTCGAATAATTAAAGGGGCTCACAAACTCATCTCTTTCTCTCTTTCTCATTTTGTTCTTGTCTATTTTGGATCGAGTTAACTAAACATGCAAGCTATAAAGATGTGCTATTTCCCTTCCTTTGATTATTACTAACGGCTCCTTTCCTATTTTCTGTCAAATTTGAAATTTTAGAATCAACATTAATTTCTTGAATGCTCTCCAAGTTGAAAAAAATCTCAAGAATACTTGGGACATTATGTGAAATATGTCATTTTACGGAAAATTTATCCATTCAGCATCTACGCAGCGAGGCGGGGGAAGGAAATTATTATCAATGAAAAGGAACGCATGAAATCAGGAAATTTACCGAGTTTCAGAATAATACGTTGAAAAAAAATGATACATCAATTCAAAAACTAAAAAAAATACAAAGAAAAGTACAGTATGGTGAGGTTTACAGCAGAAACCGTTGGCATCGCGAATTCAATGTTCAAAAGAAATCGCTAGGATTTATAGGTTTTTCTGCGATTTAGGGTCACTCAGAGCTTGCTACAAATCAGTCAATGACTGACCGAGTTTACAAAAAGCTCAGCCCCTCAGATCGAAGGAAAGAACGAGGTCAAAACAAACTTCGAAACGAAGAAGTCGCGATGGAACGATTTTCGCTGTAGCCACTCAACCTCAGTATGCATTTCTTTGTAAAATTTTGTGAATTTGAGAGGCTTTGTCTTCTTACGATTCTCAAAGTYTGTAAATTTCTTCATTTGAGGGTGTTCTATTATCATTGGTASTAGCTATTTCTAGCTATTTTCGAATTTCTGAGATATCCATGAATAGTCTCCTTCACGGTTACCTGCGCCATCTTGAAAGGTAGCCGTGCCTTGTCATCGAAGCGAGACAACCGTTGAGCGTGCAATGATAGAAACCTTCTTTCACACCTACAGACAATTTAATTATTCACAGGTATCTATCATTGCACGCTCAACGGTC